TTACATAATGAAAAGGGCATAAAAACCTGTCCCTCTGGAATCCATGTGGAGTCAGATTTGGGTTTGTACCCTTGACTCCCAGAGCTCTGCAATAAAAGAACCTGCTCATAATCACCCTAGATTCTGGGTTTCTAGGCTAACAGGGGCAGCCAGCAGGGAAGAGACATCCTTTCAACAAGAACCACAATCCTTTCATTCTCGGCGTGTTCTCCTGGAGAGCTGCGAGCGTTTGTCCCCTTTCATTCTCCCTGCTCACTTTTATCAGCACAGAGCAGCAGGCAGAGTGACACTCGAGCAGAGCAGCTCCCCGTGCCAGCAAAGCCAGACTCAAAGTCACAGCGCCGACTTCCTGTGATGAAATATTGATCCAAAACTCTGTCACACAATGAGCAGTTCGAAATCACCCTGTTTTTATGTACAATTTTTTTTTTTTTTTTACCTTTCTAAGTTGCATATGAAGAAAACTGACTTTTTTAAAAAAGGCAAATATACCTTGTGAGGAATTTCAAAATAAATTCTTGTTTTCAGCTTGAAATTTTTTTAATTCATTGTCATTTTCAGCAGTAGTGAAACAAAAGGAATTTCTTTTTCTTATTCTGTAGACATTGTAACTTAGCAATCCTCTCTTCTTTATCCTTTGGCAAAAAGGAAAAGGACATAAAATACATCGGAAGAAGAATTTTCTTGCAGCAGAGTTACCCAAAACCATGATCAATGTTCTCCAAGCAGGAAAATCTGAAGGAATCAAAGGCTTCATGAAACATTCATGGGAACAATATGCTGACAAATAGTTTCTCAGTCAAAACTTCTCCCTGGCTCTACCAAACATGGCCTGTGTGAGTTCAGGAACTCGTTTCTGGAGCACCAGAAGGCCAGAGGGGTTTAGCTCATCCTGCTGGGTTTTTTTTTTTTTTTTAAACTAACTTCACAATTCCCTTGAGGTCACTTGATGGAGCTAAATAAACTCTCTGCTTCTCCTGGATGTGCTGACTCAACTCCCACCCCAGCCTAGTCCAGGAGCTTCCTGAGCTAAAGGACAATGGGCAGGAGCTGCTGAGCCTCCAGGTCCCCATGAGAAACCCCTGCAAGACAAAAAATCCCCTTTGGAGCCAGCCCAGCTCACCCAGCCAAGGCTCCAGCCTGTCCCCTTCTGCTGCACAGACCTCCCAAGCCTGGCTTTTCTCCACATCCACTGATTTGATGAATTGTGAAATGACTGCGTGCTGATCACTGGAGAAACTTGCTGTAACAAGGTAAAAATGGGGATGAAAAAAATCAGGTGGCATCCCAGGAGCCATCACTAATTATTTGGTACCTAATGAATGACACAACTCGCTTGTTAACCTTGTCAATCTGTGCAGAGTTCTAACTAATTAATAAAAAACTGAAACTGCCAAGGGTCTGAGGTGTTTTTGGTTGACTTTGACCCAGAGTGGCTCCTACAGTGACCCTGGCACGTTGTGAGAGCTCAGTGACACAGGGTGAGAGGCACAAAATGCTGCTCAGATGAACGTGGCAAAGCTCTGGGATTAGAATGTCATGGCCTGAAGCTGTGCCACCTTGCTGGGACAACATCCAATGACTCCTGCCAAGCTCCATCAAGCAGGGTGATGAGTGAGGAGCACCTGGCTGGCCCAGCACAGAGCTCTGCTGGCCCCTGGACAGGGCCACAGCAAGTGCTCACCAGGAAGGGACAGCTGGCCTTGGCAGGGATGGCAGAACCCAAGGCACAGTGAAAGCTAAAATCATTCCTGGTGCTGCTCTGGGAGCTTTTCAGTCATGGCTTTTCATGGTGTGGGGATTGCTTAGAGGCTCCAGGAATAAATGAAAACCTGTGAAAGCCTCCAAGGTGTTGCAAGTGAACAAAATTTGGGTGTACAACTACACCCTTGAGCCTGGAGACAAAGAGTGGAAGAGACCTTCCACAGAGAATGCACTCACTTCTTTCCCTGAGCTCTCTCCTTCTCAATTCCACTTTTATTGACAGATGCAAAGTAAGACTAATGAACTATTGATAACCCTGGCACAAAGGATTATTAGACAAAGCAATTTCATTTGAGGGGGCATTGATTTATGTGTCACAACCAGAGCACAAATGGAAATGGTGGTTAGGAAGGATGAAGTGGAATGCTGAACAGGTGGGCATCCTGTTTATTCCTAATTCCTGCCTTAAATGCACTCAGACACACTTACCTGTACCTATGGATTTCCTATATAATTAAAGATATTATTGCAGATTTTCTGTATTTAATGGTATTTGGAGAGAAACCTGAAGCAACCCAAATATCAAAACGGGGCTGATGTTTTGAAGGGCCTGAACCTTGACAAGACATCAAAGTGAGCAGCTGAGTTTGAACCAGGGATTCCCAAAGACACACAAAAGAGATGTCCAGGCACAGAGGCAACCACAGGTAAGCACAGCTGAGAAGAAGGGGTTTGTCGTAAAATAGCTCAAGCAAAGTTTGAAACGTGCCTGAGGTGGAGAGGCAGCAGCAGAAGGATGGGTTTGACCATCACACTCCAGAGCCCTGTCCCCATCAGCCTCTCAGAGCCCTGGAGCTGCTGAGCAGCATCTGAGAGGAAATAACTCTGGTTCTGAGGACCAGGCAGACACTGCTGCCAAATTTTAATTCTCATTGTCTGTGCCTTTCACCTGACATTTAATGTGATGCCATCTGCTGCGTGGTTGTGAAACCAGGAGTGAGATTTGCCCTCTTTTGGTGAAACCAAAAGGAAATTTCAGAGTCTAAGACATAGACACCTGATTTTGTGAGCTGCAAAGAGGCAGCCAAGCCCCCATTTCTGTCTTTAAAAGCTCTCTCCAGCTCTCTGGTGTGTGATCAATCACCTCTTAAAAAGCACTGCCATGGTCTCCCATAGAATCCCTCTGGATCCCAAACTCACATAAAACAATAGAAGGGCAGGGCCCAGGTGATCTGACAGTGCTAAGGCAAAACCAATCCCCAGGATTTCCAGAAGGCTGCTCCACTTGTGGTGTCAGTCTGGAAAATGGTAAAATAAAACTGAACTTTAATGAACTTTCAGAGGGAGAAGGTTTCTTTGTTTTAATAGAAGCCACAACAAGAGGACATTGCTCTACCTTAGGCTCTGACACTCAAAACCCATCTCCAGTACTCCAGGGATTAAATTATTTTCTGAAAACCAGCTCATTCCCACCATTATTACTGCTGTAAAGCTGGGAGGTTTTTGCTGCCCCCCTCTTCTATTTTTTTCCAAGGCTAGAAATAGATTGAACTGGCACTTCAGGATGCTGAGCTGCAGTTTCAGTTGAGCTCTGTGCTTCACAGAGATTTATCAAAAATGACAAGATTCAACATCTAGGAGATGTCTTGTAGTGCCCAGGAGCTCAAAGAAGATGCAGCAGTTACAGCAGCAAGCAGAGAGAAATAAGAAAAGTGGTAGAAAAATCAAAGCTGTGGCAGGAATGGGCACTTGTGCTGGTCAGCACTGGCCATTAGTGAGCAAAGAATCACTGCCTGCCTCCTCCAAATGAAAAACCAGAGAAACCAGCCCTTCATTTCAGTTATAAACTTCCTGGCAGGTACCTGTCAGAGCCCACAAGCTGCAGAGGTTTTCCCCTGCTCCATTTGCAGGCAGAGTGGAATTGGGTGGAAGTGATGAGGGTCTGTCTGTGGTCACTTCTGAGCTGAGCCATCCCTGCAATAAAACAGAATATCCCATGAGTGCACTCTCTTTTCCACCCTCTTTTCCATGTAAAGCAAGTCACGTGTGAAAAAGGCGAAGGAAAAGTGAAAATATCTGGACAGTAAATGTGTATGAACTATAAAATCCTCTCCTGGGCATGATCAGCCTTTGCCTGGGTAACTCAACAAACCTAAGCAAACTCCCAGAGCTGAGATCCACCTCACACCCAGACCCCATCAATCCCACTCCAATGGAATTCAGGCAGATGGAGGCACTGATGGGGACTGGATCCCCCCCTGCAGAAGCAGCAGCATCCTTTCAGTGTTCAGAGCAGGACCAGGAGATAAAACGGAGATAAAATAGAGACATCAAATACCTGGGGCTGTTTCCAAGTCAGGCAGGTCTTTGCAGAGAGGGATTAGAGCTGAGACAAAGGCAGTGAGGGGAACCTCAGCAAGAAATGAGCACACCCAGCTTTCTTCTCACAAATAATGATTCAAACAAACACCTGCAAGAGATAATGCTGCTGAACAAAAAGTCTGCACAACAAGAAGGGATCTGAGAAAGAAACCTCCACAGTAAGAGTCAGGGGGGAGGTTGTAGGTCTGCTAATTCCTTTACAGAGGTCAAAGGCAAATTCCTCCACAGAGAACCAGCACACCAACCCTGCTCCCCTCCCCTCCACCAGCCAGGACCTTCTCCTGAAGAGATGTGGAAACAGCCTCAAGGAGTTGGGCTAATCCAGGCAGGAGCAAAATGGTAATAACTCCCACAAGACCATTGGGAAAACTTAATCCAATTTTCTCTTGTGAAGCAGGTATTATTCCCCTTTTACTTGCCTTCAGTGGTGATAAAGTGCAGACAAAGGAGATAAGGGACTCCACACCTCACATTTCACCACTCCAGTAAATACACTCCTCACTTTCACTTATCTTTCAGCCTGGTATGGATTTCCTTTTAGTAACCTCCTGAATTACAATCAAATTATACTTGCAGGGCCATTGAATTGCATGGCTTGCAATAGCTTAATGGGTTCTGTTCTGGCTGCTCAGGAAGGACTGGCAATCCCTGTGTCCTTCTGTATTTCTGGGAGCCTTAAGGGCAGTTTGAGTGCCAGGCAGAGCAGCCCAGGCTGCACTCACCAGGGCAAGTGCCACACCAACAGTGCATGGGCTGGTGAACCTGGAGGGAAAATGCTAATAGTGAATGTTTCTTCTTTTGCCCTGCAGTAACAGCCAGGCTTTGGGCAGCACAGTAATCTCAAAACTCTCTCAGACACGAATTCAGTGTGATTTAATGGCACGATCAATACACCGGGTGCCGGCTGCTCTGCAAAATATTTGAAAATAAATGGAAGTTTTAATGCCCAGAAATGGTGCAGAGTGCCACATCCCTCCTGACAGCTTATCTCTTAGATGGGCTTTTATCCTGCAATAAAGAAGTTGTTTCTTTGTTAGTTGCAGGCTCTGCAGCAAACAAAAGTCAGAGTGTGGTCAAGAGCTTTGCTGGGCTGAAATCAATCTTTGAATTCTACAAACATTTAGGTAATTGAAACAGAGAGGGAGAACAAACACTGACTGAGAGTCTAGAGAGACCTCTTGTTCTGGAGAGGATCTGGAAGGACCTCAGGGATGTAAAATGCCCCTCCTGCACCTGCCAGAGCAGGTCCCAGAGCTGCTGCACCAAACCCCTCTGGGTCTGTCCAGAAATGCACAGAGGACAAGTGGGGACACTCTGGGGGAAGAACATCTGTGCCTCAAGGACGAAAGAATGCACAGGCCATGGCAGACACAGTCTGAGGTGTGCCACACCACAGGGACAGTGGGCACCTCACAGGTGCCAGCACCGTGACCTTGTGCAGCCACCAGCCCGTGACACTCGATGCTTTCAGCTCAGTCAGCAGCTTCACTGAGAAAAACTGCACACTGGGGATAATCAGAGTGGGAACTGCCTCTGTCTGCAGCTAATGGGTGGGAGATGAAAAATCTCCCTCCTCCCTTTATTCATCCTGCTGTTTGCAAAACCTTATCATTTTTTTTTTTTCCCAATTGTATTCCCAATAAGCCTCCAGGTAAGAAATAGTGTTTGCCAGTCCTGAAGAGAAGTAATCTTTGTTGGCAACATTTCTCAGGGAATAAACTGTTCAAATAAGATGTGGGAGGGAATTTCCCCCTCAGCCAATTTGACGAACTGTAGACAGGCAGCAGATGAAAGACGGGGAGCACAGGGAGCACAGGCAGTGGCTTCAGCAGCTCTGGCTCCAAATGCAAAATTCATTTCCTTCTGAGGGGATCCAAAGTGCTTTCCATGCTGTCCTTTCTTTGAACACTGATTTAGTTTTGCTGAGCTCAGAGAGGGATGAGAAGTGAGTCTCTGAAGGAGGGAGCTCTCCAAGGGCAGCTCCTGAGGCAGCTGTGGGGTCACCGTGACCCTCCCAACATCTGGGCTTGACCACAGCATTCACTATTTCTGCCCTTCACTGGGAGCTGGAATCAACCTCCAGGAATCAGGAGTTTATTAAGGCAGACAGCAGGATTTCAGGGTGGAACAAGATCATCTCTAAGGTCCCTTCCAGCCCAACCCAACCCAACCCAACTCAACCCAACCCAACTCAACTCAACCCAACCCAACCCAACTCAACTCAACCCAACCCATCCCATCCCAACCCAACCCAACCCATCCCATCATTCTGTGATCAGTTTTTGCACTGTTTCCCCCAGCATTCATATTTCTGTTGGTAAAACAGTTACAGATGTGTTCTACCTTAAAAAAGACGTGCTGCCTTAACAAGAGGAGAAAAATGGATGAATATGAAAATAGGCGTCATGAATATTCAGCCACATTTGCAAATTAAGAGACTTCAACTGTGTCCTTGTCCTTTGTGCGTTTTCCACAAATATTGAAAGGGGAATTCTCCTGGGAGAAGCGTTCATCAGCACAGCAAGTTTTGAAGAAGGAACCCACTCAATCTACAGCAAATATGCACAGCATGGATATTGTGTGTATTCACAGGAGAAGGATGATTCTGGGAACCTCCAATTAGGCAGCAGCAGCTTTTCCTATGGTCTCAGGAAAGAACTAAAGAAAAAGGCTTATTTTGATAAATTTTTCAGCACAGATTTTTGAAATGGGAAATACAAACATGAGAAAAAGACAAAGTTTTCCCATCAATTATTCCCTCAGAATTCTGAGGGAGGGAATGCCCCCTCAAGCCAGGCTGGGAGCAGCAGCTCCCCCAGGTCAAGTGTGCTGTTAATGTGCGCAGGCAGCAGTTGAACCTGCCTGTGCTGAAAGCCCTGACCTGGGGCCCCCAGCTCAGGAATCTGCCTGATTAATTTTTAATAACCCAGCCTTCATCTGTGTGTGTGTGCAGCCTGACCTGCTCTTGGGGTGTGCTCAGCCATCCCCTCCTGCAGCCCCCCAGTGCTCCTCTGGCTCTGGAGCTGCTGTTAGAACCCACAACCAGCCCCTGTCCCTTCCACAAGCAGCCCCTGTCCCTTCCACAAGCACTGCAGAGATGCTGATGCTGTGTCAGGGTCTCCCCAAACCCCACAGAACCCACAGCATCAACACCACCCCCTATTCACCCTTTGGTTTAATCACCAAGTGACGTGAAAACCTCTCTGTAATTCCACCTGGAGGCTTTTCCCACTCTTGTCCAGTTTTGTTGGATTTCCCCCAGAGATGCCCAATACCCTTCAAACAAACCCAGTTCTTATCTCCCCACGATGTGCTCATTTTGCTTTTCATGGCAAAATGCTGGCAGGGAGGGAGGGAATAACCCAAACAAGAACAATTTCTATTCTGCTGTTTGAAAGTGGAGCTTTCAATATCCTGGCCTGTCTCTGAGTTTTTATTTAACTTGGGGGATTTTTCAGTTTACAAAATGGCCCGACAAAGATAATTAGGGTAGAAACATGCCTGACAATTCCAAATGCTCCCTTGTCAAGCAAATGGGCTAACACCTATTTTTTATTAAATCCCTGGTTTTCAAATGGTGACACAGTTGTATTAGAAGCAGTGTGTAGGTGGCTCATTTTTCCCTCCTCACATTCCCTTTGACAGTAGTTTGAAATAATATTCATCAAACAGTATAAAAGAAGTCGAAAGAAATTAATTAAGCAACTTAGAAGGAAAAATAAGATGTCTTTCCAGCAGGACTTGCTTTATTCAGGTTTATAGCGCTGCGCAGTGCAATTTTCTGGGAAGAAAAGGCAGGATAATGGTGTAACCCTGCCTGACTATGAGACAGCACATTTGGAGCATCACTGGTGATAAGGAAATCCTGAAACAAGGAGGAGCTGGGAGTTTCCTGTTAAAGATTTGCTCTGAATATCATGCAATATACACATATATAAATATATATTTGCACATATATCATTGCTGGCACCTCCCCCAGAAGGAATTGGAGATTTCTGATCCTGTCCTTTGGCATTCAGGGTTGGGGGCAAAGATGGTAATGCCACGTTTAATTTAATCTCATCAAGTGAACAAAATCCTGCTTTTTAGAAGTCTCTTGTTCAAGGGTGTTTGAACAAACACTGAGCAGGTTTTGTGGCACTGCAGGGCTGGGTTCCAGCTCTGCAGCTGGTATGAGGATTATCCATGGGCTGCACACTTCATGGCACACTCCATTCTGCTCTGTTCTCCTC